GTTTGCCGACATGTTCACCGCTAATTCCCTGCATTTCATGGTCCGTGGCCTAGCTCCGCATCTATTCTTGGCAAGCGGATTTGGATAACATTCCACCACATTTTCGCGCGTGGGTAAACCCAATCTATGCAGCGTCTCGTGGACAGGACACCATACTTGACCTCATCCCCTAACCACCAACCACCCACCACCCGCTATCCTTCTCAAAATGCTCCCACGGTGGCCGCGTCCCGTCGTACTCGGACGGCCCCACCCAACTGAGACACGTCCTCCGCAGCAGAGAAGCGCGCTTCCACACTGGCCCACGACTCCCCGGGTGTGACGCCGCGGCAGGACCGTCATTAATCGCGCGGCCGACCCCCGGACAAGCCCACTTCTGGGATAGCAGCTCCGCCCCGTGCCCGGCTCAGCAGCCGCCGACGGTCCGCTGACCATTAAAGTAGCGCTGCCCGGGCCCAAATACCAGGATTTAAAGAATAACAACTGCGAGCGCCTACAGAGTCATTACTCACAGAGGGGATGGCTGGGTGATAAGAGGTGGCCGCATACGTAATTACGGGGGCAGGTCGGGGACAAAACAAAGAAATAATCCTCGGGCAGACGTTGGTAATCACTGTGAGAGTTTTGTGGCACCTCATTAATGCATAGGTTCGAGCGGTGCGTTCTTGGCTACACGACAGTTTTCTTAATCAATAAAGACCAGTCCAAATTTACCCAACCTAAGTCCGCCGTAGTTTGGGTGCCGTTCATGTCGGCAGTGTTTCGCCACAAGGTAACCATTGGCATGCACAGCCAGAGGTGGACAAATCGGCTAAATTAAGGCACGCATGCACGCACTGGGTGCACGCATTTCTCATGATTACCCCAAGCGGTATCAGACGCACTGGGTAACACGCAAATAATATACACAAGAGGTGGCGGCCCAAAGTGGTCAGTCGATTTTGTATTTCTACAAAGTCGAGCGTTCACAGCGTCCGACGCTTGCTTGCGCGGCAAACCGACGCTTGCGTGCGCGGCAAACCCGACGCTTGCATGCGCGGCGAACCGACGTTTGCGTGCGCATGATCGTCCACAAACCACGCCATGCGCACAAAGGACGCCAAACCTACACACAAACAAACAGCAGCGCAAATCGCCCAGCCGTGTTGAAATGCCCACCCTCCATCTCCCATCGGCCGCTGTCGGGCCGCAGCTCGTCGCAGCCGACCGCCGGCGTCCCCCGGCTGCCCCCCCCCCCCTCTCCCCCCCCCCCCCACCCCGTGGACTAACAAGAGCGCGCGGGCATGTCGCGCCGTAATCTGGCCGCTTATCATCACGAGCGACCCGTCCGACGCCCGCGGCCACCAGGCGGCCATATCTCGCCAGCGCGCTGTTTGTGTGCGTGCTGTGTTTACGGAGGCAGGGGCGGCCGGGCGACGGACCCGGCCCAGGACGGCCGAGGCTGGAGTGCGGTACGTATCGGGGTGCAGTCAGGAGGGTGCGCCTCCCGTGGGGCGGGCAGGGTGCAGCTCCGGGCGGGGCCTCCGGCCGGGGCGTAGTCTGAAGAGTGCAGCTCAGGGCGGGGCGTGCTCTGAAGAGTGCAGCACAAGGCGGGGCGTAGTCTGAAGAGCGCAGCTCCGGGCCGCGCGTGCAGAGCTGGACTGATGAGATGAGGCAGTGCGGCATCGCGGGGCAGAGCAGGGATGGACTCAAGACTACGGTTCAGGCGGAGCAGAGAGCTCTCTTCCGACAACAGTGCCGCCTCCAAGGACGGCAATGCTGCTATAGTCCGACATCGAACGCGGCTCACACGGCACGGCTCAGGCTCACACGGGATACAGCTTGCGTAAATGGCACGATATACCACCATGCCGTCACGGAACACTTTCCTTAGCAAACCCGAGCCTTTCAAAGACTAGACAGAGGTCATATCGACCATTCTGACGCACCTGCACCTCCCCACCTACCCCGTCCATCTCACTTCCAGCCAGCTTCTCACTCACAAAGGCGGTCGTGCCGCATCATTTCACAGCACGAGGAAAACCCGCTGCCAGTTTGTGTAGCCACAGGTCGCAAGTCAAAATTGTGATCAATAGCATAATACTTTAATGGGTACTGACGCCGAGCACAGCGTACCACACGGCCATCTCGTGCCGTCTCTGCACTGGCGCTACCCCGGTCCAGCCGATGAGCGTCGCTCGGACGAGGAGGGTCCAGCCCGGCCGGCGGCCGGGGGTCGGGCCCGGCCGGCGGCCGAGAGCAGCAGGCCCAGCGGTGGCCGGCCGGCGCCGGCTCCGTGCCGAATGGCGAGTACTATGTGCCGCCGATCACGATGGCGCCGATACCGCTAATGATCCCCTAAAACGCCAATTACCGCGATCGTAGTGCAAGATTATCGAGCAGATTGGCACTGCTCCACGAAAGGGCCCGGCGCCGACCGAGGCCAGCGCCAGCACTCGAGATGAGGAAGCCGAGGTTCGTTGCAGCGTCGACAGAAGATGCGGCTGCTGATTTGCTCGTTTAGGATAGCGCCCGGTCCCGTCTGGTCCGGCCATGTCCGCCGCAGGCGCAACAGCTGACGGCCGACGCTCACCGATGCAAACACGGCGCACAGGACATGTCGGTGCGGCGCAGGAGCATACCGAGCCGGCGGCGTACGCTGCGCGGCGACGCAAAAAGCTGATTGGCCTGGCCGATGTGATTGCTGTCGCGCCGGACACGAGCTGGAATCGGAGACGCGGGGCCGGTGGGTCCAGCGGAGGAAGGCTGGGAGGCGGACACGACACGGGACGGCGGGTCCGGCGGAGGAGGACTCGGAGGCGGACACGACACGGGACGGCGGGTCTGGCGGAGGAGGGCTCGGTGGCGGACACGGCACGGGACGGCGGGTCCGGCGGAGGACGGCTCGAGGGCGGACACGGCACGGGCCGACGGGTCCAGCGGAGGAGGATTCGAAGGCGGACACGGCTCGGGACGGCGGGTCCAGCAGAGGAGGGCTCGGAGGTGGATACGGCACGGCGTGGCGGGTCCGGCGGAGGAGGGCTCGAAGGCGGACACGGCACGACGTGGCGGGTTCGGCGGAGGAGGGCTCGGTGGCGGACACGGCACGGGACGGCGGGTCCGGCGGAGGAGGGCTCGAAGGCGGACGCAGCTCGGGGCGGCGGCTCCGCCAGAGTGTAGTCAATGGCTGCATCGACAAAACGATCTGTTCCGAATGCCCGGAGCTGGCCACGTGGCGCACGAGTCATCCTCTGACCCCAGGGATGTCGAATCTGCACACAAGCCACAAGCCCTCACGACGTGGCCCGTGGCGCACTGCCATGCTTAAACGAAACAGAACGTCAAAACTTGTCCAACTGGCTGTCAATGTAAGATTCATAGCGAAGCAGTCACCGCGTAAGCCGCCGTCAGCCGCTGGTTGCGCCCGCATAGGCGAGTCAAAACAGATTACGACCGCTGCAGCTTGAGCGCCGCCGCCGAATTCTTTCGCTGGCATCGACATCCGACATGAGAACCATTCATAACAACGTGCCCGGGCGGCCCGACCGCGAGGCGTCCGCACGTGCACTGTCAGGGTGCAAGGTGCTAACATGCCACTTAGCATGGCGGAGCCAAACAGAGGCGCGGCGCAACCACCGTCTGCGCGAGATGCCTGCCCTATACGCCGTCAAGCACTGGACTTTGACCCTTAGCGACCTTTCACAACCCTTTGCGGCTGCACAGGCGGTGGTCGGCTGCCCGCTGGCCTGGCGATCGCCTGGCGGAGACCCCTGGCGGCCACCAGGCGGGTGGTGGGGCCCGGCCGCAACCGCCCGCGGCCGGCCGCGGGCGGATGGGGTCCGCCTCGGCCAGCGGCGTACGACCGTGCGGCGTGGCGACGGCTCCATTCGACCCGGTCCCGGCGCGAGGCGTCGTCACGACTCCCGGCGTCTGGCGACTCTCCGGCCGCCAGCGCCGTGGCCGGAGACGCACAGCTCCGCCGCAGCAGACAAATAGCTTACCAGGACTTACTGGCACGCGACGCGCAGAGGGACGGGCCGCGCCGGCCTGTCGCTCGCCGCGTCCTGCGACCCCGCACCGGCGCCCGATTATGCAGATCGCGGGCCAGGCCGCGCCAGCCGGCCAGCTTCGCTCGTCGTAAGTCGCCGCCGTGTGGCGCGCGACACCTCGCCGCCCGCCGGACGCGCCGCTGCCGGCCTAATCCGGCCAGGAATCCGGCCGGCGCGGCGACACACGGCCCCGCCGCGGCCGGCAGGTCGCCTCCGCCGGCCACCGGCGGCCGGACGCCGGGCCACGGACCGCGAGCCGCGAGCCGCGGGCCGCGGACCGCGGACCGGGGGCCGCGAGCCGCGAGCCCGCGCGGCAGCAGGAGACGCGGCGCGGGCCGGCTGCCGCGCGGAGAGGCCCCGGCCGCCGGTAAACACCGCCTGCCCAGCTGGCGCCGGCCAAGATGGCGTCGCCGCGCGCCGGCCGCCGATTATGAACGGTAATCGGCCCGGAAACCGTCCTGGACGACAGCGCCATTAATAACTTGCGCTTCCAGCACAATGGCAGTGGCGGCGCCGGCGCTGTTCCGGAGCGCTGCTGTCCTGCGCCGGCGGCAGTAGCCTCTGCCCGACCGGGCGGACTAGTCCATGGCTGGGGGAGGCGGCCGGCCCCCACCGGGCCTGAGGACAGGTGCAGGGTGGCACGCGCCGAACGGGGCGGAGAGGCGAAGGGAGCTTCAGCACGCGAAGCTTGTGATGCAACGAAACAAGACGGAGTGAGAATGGAGGACGGAGAGAGTGACTCGAAGACGATCTGGAGGTGTGTCTATCTTGGGCGTGCGGCTGTGATTGTGGTAAATGACGACAGCATTTAATGCCGAGCAACTCGCAATGGCGACAGAGGAGGGAAGACACGGGGTGTGATACGCAAAATGCTGCTTTATACCAATACGGTGCATCTTGTACACGCATTGCGTCGTGCACACCTTTCTGCACACCTTTTCTGCACACCCGCCTCAGCGCGCGCCTCCTTACCTTCGACGTCGCCCATGGCGAGGATGGCGATGGTCTTGATGGCGGGCACGGCCCAGGCGGCCAGGTGGAAGTACTGCGAGTTGGCCTCGATCGCTTCCTGGCCCCACTTGAGGCCGGCGGCCAGGAACCAGGTGAGCGTCAGGATCACCCACCAGATGCAGCTGGCCATGTTGAAGAAGTAGAGTGTCATGAAGACGAACGTGCAGCCCTGCCGCTTGGTGCCCTGCGCGATGGTCGACACCATGTCGTCCAGCTTGGGGTACTCGGGCGGCGGGTCGAAGGGACTGTTGCAGGCGATGTCGTCGCCCATGGCGAAGGCGATGACGTACGTCAGCGACACCATGAAGTAGCACACGCTGAGGAAGATGATGGGCCGTTCCGGGTAGCGGAAGCGCGACGTGTCTAGCATGAAGGTGAAGATGGTAAAGGCGCACGAGGCGAGGCACAGCACCGACCAGATGCCGACCCAGCGGCGGGCGAAGTCGCGCTGCCACTCGGAGAAGAACATGCCGCGGCAAGGTGCGCCGCAGTCGGCCGTGTCCTTCTCACCCACGCGCAGCCGGTACGACAGGCCCTTGGGCACGCGGAACTGCACCGGGCACACGAAGTCCTTGCCGTCGTGCGGCTGCAGGTCGGTGGCGGGCGTGGCTGACGGGCTGGACGTCTCGTTCTGTGCCGCGCACAGCACCCCGGGTGCCGCCTGCGGGAACTTGGAGCAGTTGAGCTTCTCTGGCCAGAGGAAGCCGAACTTGTTCATTAGCCGCTCGCAGCCGTTGCGCGCCGAGAGGCAGAGCGAGCGGCACGGCGGCAGGGGGTCTTCGAGCTGCGTGCAGACGGGCGCGTACATCAGGCAGAGGAAGAGCTGCAGGTCGGGGCTGCACTGCACCTTGACCAGCGGGAAGAACTGGTGAACTTCCAGGCCCGCCTCGCCCTGCGTCGTGTGGCCCAGCAGGTTCGGCATGATGGTCTTGTTGTACTGGATGTTCTTGCACAACTGGATGTCGATCGTCTCGCAGCGGTCGTGGTGCGGGAGGAAGTCGCCGTCCACCACCTCTGACCCCCGCCGCTGCGCTGCCGACGGCCCGGCCGCGGCCGCCAGCAACGCACATGCCAGCAGAGCGCACGCGCGCATTGCGAGCAGCAGGCGGTCCACCGGAGAAGCGAATGTCTGAGCACTACGCTAGGAGCGATCCGGCCCTGTATCACAAGCACATGCACATTTTCACGAACTTGAGAGTCTACCGCGCGGAACCGCAGCGCAGCGACCACACCCGTCCGCAACCGCTCGCTGTCTGGCCGCCAGCGGCGCTGGCGCCCAGACGCCGAATCGCGCCACCTGATTGGTCGCGGGCTTCCCGCTCAACCAATCGTATTTGGTGAGATATTTTTATGAAAGCTGTTACACTCAAAGTGATTGGTTCAAAGACAACGGGAGTTGAGTGAGGCAGAGGCGGACGTAGTTTGGCGCAGAACCGGAGCGCATTGTGGGCTTACAAAGGCTGTGAGCGCACGTACCATCGCAGCTCTCATAAGCAACCCGCTGGTAGTGACACATCTTAGTACAATGGCCCTTTCGCTTGCAGCGACAGAAAAATGGCGATTTTAAAGCAAATATTGAGGGAAAGTTAGGATAAAGACGTATGCTGCAAGGTAAAGCAAGGACGAATCAGTCACATGCATAGCCTTACAAAGAGCAAAAGTGTCTAGCGTGTCAAATCTTAATAAACATTATAAGACTTGTCTCATTCCATTCTTCCCACTCTGTATATAGATGAGAAAGTAGTAATAGCCTTGTCCCTCTTACAAAAACCAGGGGAATGAAATTATAGGTACGTTGATATTTCAGCAACATGTCTTAATCGAAGCGTATAGCAGAAGCAAATTCAACATTGCCTGCCGATTATCCTGCTCGATTTTTCAGGTCTCTTTTTTCAACAGCGAGCCACAGGTTTGACAGGTCACTAACATCCAGGGGGTTAAACAAGGAGCAATTGCCAGCCATGACTACGACACAGTGCCTATCTAAATAATAGTTGAAATACGTTAAAAACGCATGTACATACAAACGAATTCAAGTAAGCAGGTGTTACGTATCACGCTTCATTCAAACATGCAAATGATTTCAAACAGTCGTCGCGCATTACGTGTTAGGCGCATCATTCATGCATGTAAACCATTTTAAGCTAGCAAACATCACACATCCATGCAGTTATATATTATATGTTGTTATATACAGCTATATATTATATATATCATGTTGGCGTAATTGTCAATAATGGGCCCTGTACGTTAAAGTGTGGTCGCCGACTTTTCACAAGAATTCATTTATTTTCCTGTCTGGGTGGTCCTGTGCTCCGTAGGTGACTTTGAGCTCTAAAAGGTACATTGGATCTATATCTCCCTGGATTTCAGCCTGAGCATGTTGTGACAAAAAATAAAGCCGAGAGGGGTATTCCCTGTTTTGTTTTTAGTGTCTCGTAGGTGTTCATGCTATCTCAAACTAATAGGACACATGGACTCCCTGACATAGACTATGTCCCTCCCGTGTTTTCACACAGTTTGCACTCAATTTTGCAAACCATGTGTTTTGTGTGTAGGCCCCTTGAAACCCAGCCTTGTATGAATGCCATCCGTTCCCATCTTGGCACTTAGGCTGCGAGATAGAAGATAGCACCAGAGACTTCTTTATGTTGTTGTTGTTTTTTGTTGTTGTTGTTCTTGAAAGCAATCCGCGCGCGCAGTTTTAATTTTCTAACGATATGTTTGAGTTTCCAAAGATGCACCTAATGACTTCCCACCCTGTGGTTGAAACGAATGGGGAATGGTGCCAGATTTTTTTCCAATTTCATTCATGCTAAAGAGAGTGGACCACCTTTATGTACTTTTCCCTTGTTGTTAGATCAGACACGTACGATTTCATCAGAAACACAAATGGTATCCTGGTCCTTCTGAACAACTCAGAATTTTGATTTGAATTAGCCGCTCCTGCGGATATTTTTTAAAAAATGTGCCCGAAGGTGGGACAATCCGTTCAAGGGGTTAAGGGGTTAAACAGTAGCTCTGGAGGCAACGTCTGTAGATCAAGGTAGGACTGTGGTAAGTAGGTTGAGTTACCTACCATGACCGCTCTGTTTTCTGTCCCACGCCTTTGATTGCTTTAATCAGACTTAACTGAAGTGGAGCTCAATTGAAAGCAGGCAATCTGACCAACACGGTGAGCATAGAACGCTTGTGGTGTAGACCATTGCCTACGACGGAATACGTCAAAACCGTTTATGGGACAAGGTCTACTGAAAAATCGTGCTTGGGTCGACAACATAAAGAGGTGCATTGCTTTTTCCTGATTTCTTAAGCATGTTCTCCAAAAAAGAATTCCTTTATGAGGCAATAAGTTTTAAGTTTCTGGTAAAAAAATGTACCCTAGCGAAGTATGACCACGGCAGTGACGCTTTCACGATGCGGTGTATCATAAGTCCTTTGAATAACGGCCGAAGTTGAAGTGTGAAGCTGGTGGGAATCACTTGGTGGGACTTGTGTGCGCTGAAAGGCCAAAATGACTATTTTTGTTTGGAAGCACGGATGACCATTTTTTGTTTATTCTGACAATATAAATGCAGTTCTGCTCGGAGGGCCGGATCCTTTGAGTACGACTTGTGCTCGTTTGTCTGGGACGTTCTCGTCATCCCGAGGTGTCATTTAGAGCCTGTTGGTAGCACGTAAAGCCTTGGACGGGTTTTTGTTAAAGGGAGTGTGTCTAGTCAAGTTGGGAGTTTTAACGATGCACGTGGAATGGTAGGGAATTTGGATGCAAAAATTTTGGTGTCATTGGTTTCTACCAATTCGCCTCCATTGACGAGATATTGCCACAGCCTCCAAATTGTATTTGGTTTGTATGGAAGAGCGAACTTATCGGGTAGCCCCCAAACAATATTCACTAGTTAACACATCGATGCCATTGAGAGGGTATCGTTAGCTCTAGCCAATGGCTTTTCGAGGATGTTGTTTGTCAGCGCTGACAGCAGCTTGCAAACGCAGTGATGGCGGCGGCCATTATGCTTGCTTTTTACGTTCTGCTGAGGGCTGCTGCTGCACGTGGTTGGCCATATGGCGAGGCTGGTCGGTTAATGCGCACCACGATCAATTCATGTTGACGTACTTTACGCTGCATTAGGCTCTGTGAAAATATAATTGTTCTTCGCCGTTTTGGCAGCGGCTAAAGGCAGCAAGATTACTCTGCCCTGACATTAATGACCGAATTCCGGATGCACGTGCATCGAATTCAGCGTCCTAAATAACAAGTCACATGCGCTGAAACTGTTCCTGCGATGTCGCTGGTACACCAATCATGTTCAGGATATCAAGTTTTTCCGTCTCGAATAACGTTAGGGATCTTCAATTGCGTACCGTTCTACACCGCCAGCGCTCTCCCTATACGCACGAGACCGCAGCAACCGGGATAATGACCGTGCCACTAGCACGCAGTTACTCGCCACATATAAGCCAGTGCACTCGTCCTTTCCGGTCCGCTGATTGGTTCATGTTTTAGCATTGTATCTGTTCATGTACAATCATCAATGTGATCGATGAAGTAAATAAGTAAAAACTATTGCAAGATCCAAGCGCACATTTGAACACCAAAGTTGGGTATAGATAGTTGTAAAACTCCCCATAGACGTGTATTTGGAAAGCTGAAAACACTAGGCATATTTTCTTTAATGGGCCGATTTCTCTTTTACCGTTTGGGACGAAACCAGGTGTCGTCTGCAGGATGAAAAGGCAAAAGGCAAAAGGCAAAGGCAAAAGGCAAAAGGCAAGACAAAAGGCCAAAGGCAAAAGGCAAAAGGCAAAAGGCAAGAGTGGAAATGTAAGAAGGTTCAGGGGGTCTAAAGGCTCAACTAGGGATATTTATATCAGAGTTTCCTGCCACAAGTTATCACAAACAAGACGCTCTTCAGCTACACGATAACGTCAGAAAAGACCCCATGCCAGTGACCATATCGTGCTGAACATTCGCAGTCCTTGCTGACTCAGTCTGGTTGCAAAAACGCTACGCCAGGCTACTGACTAAAACACAACGGCTGACGGCCACCCATGCTGTGTCATGGGCTGGTTTCTACAGCCAGTAAGGGCACACGCTAATAAAAATTATGAAGGATGATATGATGAAAGCCCGGCGAATTTAAGTAACTCATTTTCATCTAGCATTTCCTTCTCCATTAAATGGTCTCATTGACAGTCAACGCGATCAAAATTGTCTCATGGGTCAACCTTTCAAAAGTTTGTTCATCAGCCACTCAAGATTGCATATTCACACGGCCGCTGAACGGCAGCCCGACGAACAGAGAGACTGTTAACGGCACAGCTATGCAACATGTGACTTTCGATAAGTACGGTGCCTCAGTCTATACGCTGAAAATAAGCCCATAGTCTACGCCAGGATTAGGCCCTCATAGTCAAGGTGCACGGTTAATCTGCATATTATCGTATGTTTCAACCAATAGTAAATATACGACCGGAGTAAGCCTACAGTCGTTGTATTAACACCATCAAGCAGATGAGAACACAAATATCAAAATTCCTTGAACGTCGAACAATCTAAATTGTGCGTCACTCATGTATGTGATTATAATTATGTTTTTTACGATTTCAAAGTGCGAGAGACAAGAACATTCTTTGATGGGAAGCTGATCGTGCCCACGCATGCGGAGCGGGGGATCTGCATGTACGTACTACGCTTATCTGGTGCGTAGTACAGAGGCTGCATGGTTGACAGTATAAACGTGTCACACGGCAAGTTTAGCTGTATGTTAGTCTATCAGTTTTCAGGAAGTCAGAATTTTTTTACAGGATTCATATGTACCAAGGATCACGTCTCTCTCAATGGTATTAACCAGTGGCTGACCCATAGGAGTTCACGTGACCATGTCCGTCCTCATAGAGCTGGGAAGGGGCCTTCGCAGAGGCTATAACAGGCCGAACGGACGCAGTTTTCAACGAAAAAAGTTTTAACAGGGCACTAGTGAGACATGTAATGACTTTGGAAGCATAAATGATTACATGAACACGTTTCGATTACAAAGAGTTCACTTCGATAAAAGAATTAACAGCTAAAAGCTATGTAACGAACTAATTCCTGGAGGAATCTGTAATACTAGTTGATGACTAACGGAGTGGCTTTTACACCGTTCGAATCCTTGTGGATGTATTTTTTCAACAGCT